TTGATAAGTAGATAAAATATCACAAACTCATTTTGCTTTTCCACCCTTCCTGTTAACCAATTCATGTCATTGTTATTACAATCACCAGTTTCGAGTGGACAAGTTACTAAAATGTCGTCTTTTGTCCACATGACCATTTGCGTTTCTTTGGGTAAATTTGCCGTTGTAAATTCAAGCTCATAGGGTTTTCCCTCTTCCGCTGGATCACAGGTTGCTGCCCCTGAAGTAGATTCTGAAATCACAAGTTAAGAGTCAACAAATTATTTATAACAATAAGTAAAAAATTACTGTTCATATAATGAGGCAAAAATAATTTTGGATTGATTTGAAATTGTATTGTTATGCTTTACAGGCTATAAAATATGCCAATCCGATCTTTTGTGTCAAACGGCTAAATAACACTACATTGACTTCAGCTACATATATTCTAATCAATAAATGTATTCATACATTAAAAAATAGAGCTGAAAAGGATATTTTAATAATGCTCAATTGAGAGTTTAAGTTATTATTCATGTAGTTTCACCAATGTTTCATGATTTATTTAAAAAAAAAAAGAATATAACCTGTGAAGACAAATACAAGCAAGTAGATGGTAGGGTACATATTCGATTTCATGTTGTCTATGCTGAAATACAGAAATATTTTAATTTAAACCTTGAATTTGGCTTTGGATTTAACAATGGGTTAGGTTTTTCAGAGCCTCAATTTTAAATTAATAGTTTAGCTTTAAACTAAGGTTTGATTTGTTTCAGATAACTTAAAATATTCAAAACGGTCTTAACATTCATTTTACCAACAGCAGGTTTTCGTCAGCCGTTTTTATAGAAAGTAACTTTGCAGGAGTGAATGTCTGTATAATATCGGATATTTAGAACAGGATAGTGTTTTGAGGACAACAAACGGGAAGGTTAAGTTTGCCCTGAATGAATGTGTTATGGGTATCCAAAGAAACAAGAAATCAATACCAACTACGGTATAGCGGTATAGTTATATAGCTCAGATAAAATGTTGTAACGCCATAGAGCTCTGAAGAATATAAAGCCGTGTGTTATTGAATGTGCCAAATGACTTGGGACACCAATACATGCTACTACTGCGTGTGTGTGTGGACCCATAATGCTAGTGTTATTGGGAAAATAGGCTTAAGTACGGCAGTGAAGGTGGAATATTTGTAAATCGGTGTATAAATACATAGAAGTCTTGTGTCCAGTATCCTATATCAAACAGGGCAGTAGCAATACAAATATCAATGCTCAATTCACTTCATACGTGTTTTATTTCAAAAAGAAAATTATGTCTAAGTTGTTACGCAGTACATTAAAACAAATTGTTAGTAACACGAATAGCAGGCTGTGTTATGTCAAAGTCAATTTTTGTCTAACATTGTATGTTACTACACACTTATGTAAATATTTCTACCAGTGGCGTAGCTAGGATCGATCGTCTCATGAGGGGGGGGGGGTTCAATTTTTTCCATCAATATATATATATATATATTTTAATTGTAAATGTTAAAACAAATCAATATTAACTTTAGTATGTAATAAAGTAGTTTAACACTATTCGTGTTTATAAAAATATGCTGTCTACAATCAGAATTAAGTATTATTGCTAAAATATTACAGCATAATGAATGTTTTTTAAATCATAATTTTTCTTTTACAAAAGCACGCTTTTCAATATAATTAAAAAAAAACTAAATCTAATAGGTGGAACATTCTGAAAAATAGCCTATATAAACAAAAATATTCTTCTTGCAGTTCAGATCATACATTTTATAATTAGCTACTGTTTTTTGTGTACTCTAAAGATCATTTTTTAAACATAATGATAAGGTATGGGTTAGATCACTGTATTGCTCTCACACCTCTTTACTGGTAATTGCAAAAACAATGTGCACATAGTTTTACCTGTTTCAAAAGCTATTATTCTGTCGGCATAGTACTTTGGCACCTCATTACGCGCTCGGGGTGGGTTGTTGGGGAGGAGGGAGGGGGTTCCACTTCATTCACATCTTTTCTTTTAACTTAAGGGCTATTATCTTACCCAGCGTATACGTAGGTGTAACATTAATGTCACTTTACTTAATTACGACCTGTCCCATTCTGGCGGTTAGGTGGTGAGGTGGGGGGGGGGGGGGGGAATAACCAACTCAGAGTGAACATAGCGTCAGTTTTTAGATGACTGTTCTAAACATACATATATAAATATACATATTCTGATATAATATATAATTATACATATATACTGATTAAGATATATATTTAAATAAGTAACAGTGGTTATATGAACATAAATTTTCTTTTACAGAAGGGTCCACGGGGAGGATGTTTTAACCCCCCTAACCCCCCCCCTCCCGCCTACGCCACTGATTTTTACAGCAATTTAATAATTAATCTAAATATTTGTTTTTAAACTTCACAGTGAAGTGAACAATCACCGTTTACTGAGCGTCTTATGTTACTTGGCAGGAAAATTGATTCATTCTTTAATCTATGGTGTAGCAAGTTACCTACCCCTGACTCCTGGGCGCCATTAAGTTTTTTCAAAGCGACTCAAGCTTAAAGGTGTAGTAGAAAATAAATAAAACTGGCTTCTGGTTATACAGAGTGGTTAAACTGGACTTTTAGATGATTTAACATACATCTACGGTCGACAAAGTCAGTATTGCCTTTGGTGTATTTACACCCTGGACCTATTTCCCTTCCCAACATTACCCCCCCCCCCGAGCAATTAAACCCTTGTGAATATGGTTAGGGTTAGTCAGGGTAATGATTAGATGTTGTGGTTGGTGTTTGATGCTAGGGTTAGGGTTAAAGCCATGTTTTTTCAGGAGGGTGGGGAGGGGGTAATTGACAAGGGAGAAATTACTCCGGTGATTAATGTCAAGAAGGACATGTCGCGGGGGGGGTGTCATTGTGACATTTCAATATCATAGACCCATATTTATAATTAAACGACATAAGCACTCATTATAATTGGAAAAACAAAATATATATATACGTCCATAAAAGACCGACTGTTTAATACGTTCGGTTAGTGCTAAAATTTCAAAAGAAGCGTACCTTTTAATATAAGCTGTTGGTGGATTAACAAAGTAAACTTCTATGCTCATGGGGGGGGGGGGGGTATTCTAAAGTTAATCGAAGCTCGTTCAGTCCACCCAGCTCTGATGGGAACCTGACTCACGTTAGGGAAAGTAAAGGCGGATGGGCGTAGTGCTGACTACAACATCCGTTTATAAGCGGTGATCATAGAACAAGGTGAACTCTACTTCACCTGCTCCATTTGTGACCGTACGAGTTATAGTGTCAGATGCTGTAGTGACTCAAGTACTTTGACGAAAGACAAATTAAAAAACTAAATAGATGTCATGTGACCGGACAACTCCGTGTAATTGGTCGAAGGCCATTATCATGGAGTCGAATGGGTGGGGTCATATTGTCAGGGTAATTTGATTTCGCACAAAGTTTGAATACAATCCTTCTGACCTCCCCCCCCCCCCCCATCCCATTCCTGTGTGCATTCGTAATTACAAACTAGGCGGAAGAGGCGTGTAAAACAAGAAATTAAAATATGTAGTCAGACATCTTGTTCAGTATAAATAGAGATGCAGAAAATATACTAGTCGTTCTATAAAAAATACACTATGATATAAAACTATAATTTTTGAAAGAATTTGACAAACAAAATTCGGTTAACAATTGATAAATAATTACCTTTTCTGTGTTCTGATGTTAGTCTAGTTCACACACGGTATGTTTAGAAATGGTAGAGAGAATAACATATTCAGGGATATGAAAATCTTTAGAACACGAATATAAACGGGTAACCTTAACTTTTTACTCTAGGGTAAAAAGATATACTTTTTAAACTGAACGGGGTGTGTGTGTGTGGGGGGGGGGGGGGGGGGGGGTGGAGAGACCGACTGTGTCAATCGATATTTTTGTGGAAATCGTTTTGATATTCAGGAGAGAAGTCTTTTCAATGGATTTTTTTACCGTTGCACATATCACACACTAAGCTAGTCTTTATAGAACACGGTTGAAAGGTGTTTTCTATAGAAAAATTTGGTAACAAGAAATGCTTTAGTGAACGTGTATAAAAGACGTGACGGTTATTTGCTGGTTTCTTATACTCCGTGGTACCTTCACTTAGAGGCTCCACTTTTACACAATTTGATATTCTGGTTTATTCAAATCGTTTTTAATGTTACATTTTGCGATCAAACTTGATAAAAGAAAAACGTACTTCTTTGATTTTTGTACTTTTTATTACTTCTAATACGATTGCTTTTTACAAACCTACTTGGCTATGCTTTATGCTGTTGAGAAGTTTTCCAGTTATTAGGTTGTAAATCTATAGCTAAAGGTACTATTTTACTCCAGGGTTTACAATCCATGGGTCGCGTTTGTAGGATGCTCCTGAGTCCACCCTGCTCTGATGAGCACCTAGCTCACATAATTTAGTCACGATCAAAACATAGAAAGGAGAAAATAAATTTAAAATTATTAAGTATAGTAAAGCCCATCAAAATTTAATTCAACTCCTGAGCGTAACTCACACATGTCCTCCAATTATTTATTTAACCAAAGGTGGGTCTGAGGTGGGGGGTGGGGTGGGGTGGGGGGAATTGTAGGTATGACTTCTAAATTATGCATACATTTAACTCTAGCCTGTGTTAATTACTAATTATTAACTGTTCAAAATAGTATCTAATTATGGGTTATGAAATCAATTTCATTAGCATTTTTCTTCTCAGCTACCCAAATATTTAAATTAAAAAATTCAAGCTTAAACTAGTCAATACAAAAATAAGGCACAGTTCATTCCTGTTTACTGATCTCGGTGAAAGCAGTAGGCCTACTTGCATTACAACTCGGCTAGTAATAAATAATAATACTATTTCGTGCCCATGTTATTTTGTAAAGGAAATATCTACTTCACTTTGTAAACATAATCTCTAAGCATATCGACTAAAAAAACTCACACAATCGTTATTAAAAGATGAAATTATACAAAACAATAATCGAATCAATGCTATTTGGCATTATTTATAAATTATTTATATTATTCCTACCCTTTATACAATATACTACATTGATACCGTAATATTTACAAGTGTTTTCATTTTGCAGTCAATGCATGGTTATAAATAATACACAAGCATTGCAGAAAAAAAGGCATGTATTTTTCAACATATATTTTAATTTCAATACAAGCAGAATCAGAAACAAAATAAAAGTGTTAACTAAATTTTAATCATTACACTAGACAAACATCAGTTCATTACTTAATTTCCATCGATCATTTCTTCATTAAGTTAAACAGCTTCATTTTTAAATTGCTGTCCAGCAAATTTTCCTTGTCTTTAATTACAGACATTACGTACCAATCATGGAAGTTTTGATAACTTGTTTTAAAAGACGGTATTAATATTTCTTTACATCTTCTCATTGGCTCAGATACAGAATAGATGATTCGAAAACATTCAATTACATATGTAACGTCTTCAATAATACTATTACCCATCTTAATAGTGTGCTTATTATTTGAATTGAATTCATCTTTTTTTGTTTGATCATCATCATCATCTGTATCTATTTCTTGCTTAGCGAAGGCTTGATGTTTTCTCCATAACATTACCAGCAGATCAACACATTTTTTACTTTCGTCATGCAATGTCTGCGAATTATCTAAAACCATTTCTAGCATTAAACAAATGTCTTTTAGTATTTCTTCCCATTCGCTGTATAGCAGCGACCGTTCGTTTTTTATACATAACGGCTGACTGCTCCAATTAAACTCCATCTGGCTAACACAAGAAATCAAGTGTTTGATTTCTTGGATGTGGTTCTCGATGTTGTACCTCAGCAACCTGTCTCCACAGACACTTTTAACTTGTGCGTAATCTCCTTCGACGCCCTTACCAATTTTTAGTTCATTTTCATAAATGATAACTGAAATGAGAGTATTTACATTGATCCCAAAATTACTATGCAGCATGTTTATTAAAGAATTACAATCCTTTGCTCGGTCAAGTGTAAAAGCCACAATAATAGCATTAAATCCTTCTTGGCTCAAGGAAAGACAGGATTTCATGTCTTCAATAAATTTGTTGATGTTATTTGTATCATACACAGGCCCATCCACAAGTTTGAAAACTTGATCGTCACATTTAGTGTAATGTAATTGTATTTTATTCTTGTCTGGCATTGAAAATTGGGGCAAGCTTCGAAGAACTTTCTTACTGACTTCAAGTATTACATTTTTATCCTTTGTATCAACAATACTTTTCTTGTCGTCCGTTTTCATTATATGATACTCTCTCTGAAGAATAGATCTCTTCAACAGTTCCTTGTTGCTGTTCACTGTACCAAGCAGTAGTACAGAAGAGCTGATTTTGTAGAGATTTATATCGGCGGGATTCCTGAAACGCAGAGTTCGACATTGTAACCCTACCAATACTTTTTTAAAAGCCTGGGTAAAATAATTATTTTTTATCTAAGACCGTGCACACACACACATATGTACACACACGGACACACACACGGACACAAACACACACACAACACACATACACCGACCAACTTTCCTGCTTTATACACTTTACATTTTTGTTCACATCTGATATACCCACCCATCCAATCCCCAGTGCATCTTTCCCATAGAGCAGTGCTTCCTAACCTGGGTTGGATCGAACCCAAAGGAAAATAGAACTATTAAGCCGGGTTCAGTAAATGCGCATATAAACTGATAGGGTTCAGTACATCCAAACAGGTTAAGAATCATTGCCATAAAGACACAACTACATCCATATGCATCGAAGGAAAGCTGCATTTCTTTCCATTTTGGGTACTGATAGAATAACAATTAGGATAAATTCTATTTTTAAAAACTGCATCAATTACAGCAAAATGAAAACCCACATTTAAGAGTATGTTCATAAAATATTATTTTTCCATTTTATTTAAGTATTGATACTGTGTTTTAAATAACCAATCACTCATCTATATTCTCTCTATTTTCTATTAAATGCTTACTCGGATTGCAATGCCTGGACTTCACTTGTTCCTGGAATTATCGGGTCCATATTTGCTGCTAGGAGGATTAATCAAAGCACAATAGCTTTACAATAATATCAATGTGATTATAGATAACTACGCATAACTATATATATATATATAATATATATATATATATATATATATATATATATATATATATATATATATATATATATATATTCATATATTTATACAGAGAGAGAGAGAGAGAGAACAAGAGAGAGAGAGAGAGAAAGAGTATTTTGAATGCACAGATTAAAAAATTGTAGAGACATATTGTTATTTCGGCATTTATTGGAGGAAACTTTAAAAATACAATCAAATATTTAAATTCATATGGGTTTTGTACTTTGCTAATACACTATTTTATTTGCTATCGATAGGAAAAGAAGATAATAAAGTTTTAAGTACGACCAATAGCGAGGGCAACAATGTTTTCAAGCGCGTGATAATATAAACAACTAATATAAACTAAAGATGAAATTATTAACAGTAAAAATATGAAACAACTTACGATTGCACGTATTTTGTTGTGTGTTTCCTCTGAAAGAATTTTAAAAATATATTTTATTATTATCAATACTGTTTTTCAAGCAAGCATATATAGAAGAACAATTTGCTACACAGCTTTCCATAACACTGCCCGTAAATTATATCAAATTATCAACTAACCGTGCTTTATAACAATAACGTTTCCCAGAAGGAATATATCTGCTGTAAAAATTGGAAAAATACAAACAATTATCAACTTACTCTGCTGAAATTAAACTTGTTGTAACATCTTCTTTCGGCGAAGTGTCGCCACTCGTGTTCCTTCGTGCACAAGCAGAATATGTTCGCCTAAAATGTCGGTGTATAATCTAGTTATTACATATACCATAAGAGTTTAGAGAGATATATGTAGTAAATACTTTGATCCTTCAAGCTCTTCTCCCCCCCCCCCCCCCGTTTATCATATCTCTCTCTAATATAAATAGTTTACATAATTTATATCAAAACGATCAACATGTTTCTGATTTATTTCCTTACCAGATTCTCTGTAACAAATCTCTAATAGGCTTGACTTTTTATTTTTATAAAAATGGAAAATAAAAAACAATGTAAACAAAAATTTTGGTCATTTTTATAACATTTGCATCTATAGAATCAATTAATAAAATTACATTTTTGTGTTAAAGACAGATTTCATTTAAAATGAATTCTCATTTTTAAATTTTTAATTGTCGTCCACTAAGTATTAAACATTAAAAGTTAGTTTGAGAATTCAAGCCAAGGTATAAACTAAAATTATGCCTTACGTCTTTTGGTGTAAAGCGTTAAAAGTATGAGTATCACCAGGATGCTTATCACTAGGAGAATTGCGAGAACAATGGCAGCGCTGTTGCTAGGGTCAGTTGTAGCTAAACAAACTGTTAATGTTATAAATGTTATCAGAAATAATATTTGATTGATATAGGATTATAATATACACCCTACACTTCCACTAGATCAAGAGTTTAAAAAAAAACCTCTAATTATTTGTAGAACATAATGCTAATAATATAACGTTGAGGCATGTACTATTTTACAAACTTTCGATAATAAAATAGGTTTAATTTGTTATACATTAAACCATATATATACTACTAAAGATAATCTAATACGTACTTTTTTCGCTTTCAGATGAAATCGCTGTTTTGCATACAATTTCATGCTCTTTGTCTGAATATAGGAAAATATTAACGTCTCACGCTAGATTTTATGTAGTAGATATTATTTTATTTTAGTATTTCTCATCTTTTTGTTTATGTGAATTTTTTTTTATCTTGTGAAGTTTGCATAAGAGAATTTAGTAAAACGTTTTTACTATGTTGTTTTTTTAAATTAAAAGCAAATTTTACTTATAGAAGTGATACGTTTAAAAAATATGTATTAGTTAAGTATATATATATATATATATATATATATATATATATATATATATATAAAGAGAGAGAGAGTGAAAGAGAGAGAGAAAAAGAGAGATAAAGACAAATTAATAGGCAACGATTACAAAATTGTATGGACATGTTTTTCCGCATTAGTGTTTAAAAGTAGACGCTAAAACATCTTATTTCACATAGTTTTTGCACATTAGTAATTCTTATAAATAATTATTTCTTGCCTGCTGCATTAGGTAAGTTTATGACGTAGAAATTGTGCTTGTTGTCTATTTTCACCCCATGATTGTACCAATCAATGTGTGACATTGTTCTATCTAAACTTTTACAACTGCAGTTGATCGTGTTCTCCCTGGTCTCGCATTCTTTCAGGACAACATATGCGGGCTCTGTAAGATGAAACACAGTTACATAAGGAGTCTTTAATAACACCTCCGTACGGTAGCTTCTTTTAAAATAACTACCGATAAAATCATGTATTGTTATGATTGTGAATTGATATTTAACCAGAACGTATAAAAACTGAATAAATGTGTCAAATGAAAAAGTTAATTGTTGCCAGTTACTTAATTTTCTTAAAAAGTACTACCCCCCCCCCCCAGTAAATACCAGAATAAAGTATTACTTCATATACATTTGGGCTTACAAGTTATCCTATTATATATTAAGTTCGGTAATAAAATCGTAGCTATTTCTAGCTATTATTATCGATGTGGATTTTACTGTTAAAAAAAGTATTATTAATAAATTAAAAGATATTGATAAAATATACTGTCCAAAAAAACAGTGTAAAATGTATCACAATCATTAAATATTTGTTAAATTTTAAACTATGTATTATTATAAATAACCTGTATACAGCGTTGCTGATGTATTGACGCCGATGTGGGTATTTATAGTTTTAGCTATTGTGTTTGGGTAAATGAAGATATTAAACACATCTGCTTTTAAACTCAATTGTTGTTGAGGAAATTGCACGTTGCAAGTTGCTTTATAATAAACAGGCTCATCTGAGAGCTTGTCATTGTCGCAAGACATTGGTCCAACTTGCCTGCTTGTCTGTTCAACGAGCATCTGAGAATATATTTCAGTTGAGTGTTAGCTGATCATTAAAATATATAAACATTCATTAAATTATTCTTTTCCCATAATTCTTTTAAGTTCGGAATAGATAGTCAGGTGGCTTGAGCTTGTATATGAACACATTTCAATATATATTATATGTATGTATATATATATATATATATATATATATATATATATATATATATATATTGGTTTAGTATATAATTTAAAAATGAAACTTTTACAAAACGATTTGATGTTGTACAAGTTTTAAGTTTTAAAAACACAAATTTGCAATGATTATCTTTTATTTAATACTATGAATAAAAAAAACCGGACAGTTTACCAGAGCTTCTGGGTAGGTTCTTGTAACTCGACAAGTAACGTTTAAACCAAAGGAGGACCACACGATATTACAGGACATGTCTTGTGGTTTAGCTGTGATTGAAGGTAATATAGTTTTAGCATTAAGGTATAACACTATCTGTGGGTCACTGCACTAAATTGAAGCTATGTAAAACTACATGTGTTATAGGTTACGTTAATCTAACAATGATATAGAAATACAGCAGGAAAACAGGAAATGTTGGCAATACTTACCAAATACTTGTAAGTTACAGTGATAGAAAACTTCTAAGTTCGGGCTTGATGTATGTGTTCTCAACTTCCAAAGACCTTTAGCATTATGTGAAATATATCTAGAGACATTATAGATGTGTATGTTGAATGTTACCAACTCATTTTGCTTTTCCACCTTTGCCGATAACCAATTCATGTCATTCGTTATACAATCACCAGTATCGACTGAACATTCAGCGACTAAAATGTCGTCTTTCGTCCACATGACCAAAGTTGAATCTTTGGGCAGTTTTGCCGTTGTAAACATGAGGTCATAAGGTTTTCCTTCTTCTGCAGGTTCGCAAGCTAGATGTCCTGTTGAAATGTTTAAACCATACATTAATACATTTGAAATACACTCAAATATTCATAACGTTAACTGACATATTGTATAATATATTTATAAAATTGATAAAGACTGCCAAAGCAACCACTGACAATTTAGTTAAATGCTATAAAATATGCTTACAATGAAATTAGTGGTGTTATAAAAATAATATTCTTACACAAACACTACTGTCATCCTAATAAACTCTTTTTAAAAATACATTTTAAAAAAATGATTTCTTATCTATGATTCAATTGAATCGATAAGTGAATTACAAAGCTGTCACCGTTTTAATTTAAATTGTAAAGAGAGACCTATGTTTATTTAATTAATGCAACGTGGTGTATGAAATATGACACCGATATACTACCTTTTATGGCATACAGAAGTACATAGATGGATATATACACTTTTGACTCCATACTTGTCTTGCTGAAATATAGAACACATTTATACCTTTGGTTAGTGTTAAATAAACGTCTAGCGTAGAACTTTTCTACTTCCGGACTTGATAACTAGTTTTGATTGAGGTTGTATTTAAAAAAAAAGAATGATGCCGCGTCAACGTTTTACAAATTTGAGTTAAGGTTTTATACTAAGAATGGAAATATATATATGTAATCCCATAATTTGCTGATCTTTCAAATATTTTACTGTACCACTGATGTGGGCAGGACGTTTGTCATGAAGGGTCAGCACAACTACCAACGACAGGTAAAAATACAATCAAGTACAGCATTTCACAATAGCCACCCAAAAGTAACTACTACTACTATTGAGTTAATGAAAATATATTCTTTGAAATATACATAGATTGTGAAGGAAAACACACATGCTTTCAATATAGTCGTCTCGTCGCTGTCGATTTGTTGTGAGATGTTCAGATGTACAACGCTAAAGACTACACGTATTTTTGCTGGATGATTATGGTTTGTCTTTGAATAACACCTCAAGCCGATTAACACATTTCTTCAATCCCTACACAGCAAAGAAAAACAAAATAAATCTATTACTCTAGCGTAAATATATGATATCGTCTTTATTGTTTTCTAACTATTAAAAATAGGCCAAGGTATTCCACATACCACCATGTCAAATAGTCAAACACCCTCGCACACTGTGTAAAACACCATTCGTAGATACCTGCTTAGTTGCCGATTTCTGCTGAATAGCTTTCAAACGCTGATAAAAATCAAGCATACCCGTGTCCCGTTACACACATCTCACTACACCGCCCCGCTTATCAATGAAAACAAGTCGTGCTACCAGTCTAAAATTACGTCGTGTGTTATTGAATGTGTAACGCTCCTGGTGACAACAGGAAGGTATACAACACTGACGTGTAGTACGTGAAATCCTGCTGGGTCTACCCTGTGTTTATTCCATTTAATCCAACAACATTACATTACCTTCGCCGGTCTAGCCAGTTACTTAACAGTGTTAGAAGTTTGACATACATAACTTAAAGTGTTCCATAAGAAATAATATGTTTTAAATTATTCCTCGGCTAATCAACAGTGCACTCAATGTCACAGTGTAAGGTAGGAGGGGGGCGGAGTTACAACTGAAATAAAATATTGCTTGACAGTTTTAGGGGAGTTGATAACACAACACTAGAGTAGAGGAATTGAATGTGTGTTGAAAACAACCCTGCCTATAAATTTGTACCTGAATCAAGTTTTAACTGAATTTATATTTTTGGTAATCAGTTGAAGAGAGAAAGAATGTCTCACAACTTATTCTGCTAGTTTTTCAAAGAAAACAAAGAATATTTTCAATGACAAATTCTATTTTTGTACAGTGAATAAAATACACTAATATACAATATATTAAAGTCATCCTAAATATAAGTGTTGTGACATTAAAATACTTGCTATAAATATAAAAAAAATCACCTAAAAATTATTTATAGTAACAATAGCCGGCTATCAATAGAGGTTATAGATTTATATTTTAGTATTTAAAACATCTGCTAAAGAATTTAGACATATCCATTAATTATACTAGCGCTTTAAGTAATGACTTTTAATTAAAAAGCTGCACTGATTAAAAGCATTAAAAAAGCTACGACCTACATTTAAAAAAAAACATAGTAGGGTTGAATAGCAAAGTAACGATTGGATCTAAGCTCCTACATTCAAATATGGTATTCAACGCACAAGCGGTGTAATCAATGTTACTAGACTAGGGCAATATGTCCTGTTGGCTGTTAG